TGGGGATTCGAACCCGCCACCTTAGGTGTATGTGGCTGGCGCCTTAGCCACTTGAGCCACAGGTGCCGAGCCACTGCAAACATTTTGAAAAGCTGTTGATTTAGGGCTACAAAAAAATAGTAATAAAGGAGTTTAAAGTTCATTTTTATAGACCATGATGTTACATATAATAAAGGAAAGAAGAGAAAGCTTACATTTAATTTCAGATTCTGAAGACCTCGAGGATGAACACTATGTCATTCATTTATATCTTCAGGGCTTAGCTTGGAATCTGCCTGCACTGTTATATGGTACATGTATAGAAGTTTTGCAACAAAAATTTAAATGAGTTTTTCAGATGCTTCAAGCTATTCTTGTGATTATATTTATAAAGTATATTCTTTCCATGGAAATAACAGATCATTAAGTCGGGGCTACTGATGGTAGGTAGTTAACTTCCCACTTGACAGTTAACTTCCTACTGGATAGATGAAGATTATCTTGAAATCACAGACTATTTCATAGGTACTGTGTGCTCTTTATTTTCATCAGGTGAATACACCAACAAAAACCTATGGAATGGGGAAAGGCCGTGCAGCAGATCTGAAGTATATTGAAGCTTGTGCTAGACGCATTGTACAAAACTCAAATGGGTACAAAATTGTGACTGAGAAAAGCACAGTTCCAGTGCGTGCAGCAGAAAGTATTCGTCGCATCTTTGACGCAAATACAAAACCCAACTTGAATTTACAGGTATAAAAAAAATGGATGAGTGGAACCTGGTCCATTATGTAAATATTAATCCCTTAAGGTCGCCCGTAATGCATTTTAAGACTTTTCTTTGCTTTGGGACTATAGGTATTGTCCAACCCTGAGTTCTTGGCAGAGGGAACAGCCATCAAGGACTTAAAGAACCCGGACAGAGTACTGATTGGAGGGGATGAAACCCCAGAAGGCCAGAGAGCCGTGCAGGCCCTGTGTGCTGTATATGAGCACTGGGTTCCCAGGGAAAAGATCCTCACCACTAATACTTGGTCTTCAGAGCTTTCCAAACTGGTTAGTACATAGCATTCAACTCTTGCAAAATTTAAAGCCAAGTTTTTGTTTGTGTTATCACCAGATAAGCTGTATAGATATTTTCTTAATGTTAATAAAAAGTTATACTTTGAAAGATAATATTCTCACATGTCAAATTATGAAATTTTCACAAGGGGTATCAAATATCAGGGCATAAAATATTCTAGAAAATTCCAAAATTTTAATGTAATAATATTGAGAGTACAATAAATAGTAATTTGTGTTGTATTACTGTCTCCCCTCTTTTGCCCTTTTTCCTAATCATCTGCCTTTTCTACTTTAAAGCATTTTCCATTACCCACCCATTATTGTCTCCTCAAATTGAGCCCATCATAATTTTTTTATACCTCCCTCAGTAATTTGCATCAAGTCAATGAAATATAATCCAGATTTGTAAAATTATTATTTTAGCTCACTATATTGTCCTCTCTCTCTTTTTTTTAAGGCAGCAAATGCTTTTCTTGCCCAGAGAATCAGCAGCATTAACTCTATAAGTGCCCTGTGTGAAGCAACAGGAGCTGATGTAGAAGAGGTAGCAACAGCCATTGGAATGGACCAGAGGATTGGAAATAAGTTTCTGAAAGCCAGTGTTGGTAAACTAAAACTTTTCTCTATATAAAGTGGGTTCATTTTGCTAGGTCTTAACATCTTTTGGGAAGGGAAAAAAGATTACATCATATGTGCATCTTCAACCTACCAGAGACTTTCTTTTGTTGTTGTTTAAGCATCCTAAATCAATACAAGGGACTTTCTAAGTGAGGGATAAGTATTTATATTGTTTAATAATTATTTAATAATTATTGATTGATTGGTAGGGTAAACATAGGTTAGTGTTTTAGGAGGAAATAATAGGACATTTAGAAATAATAAGTTTGAGAGCCCATAAATACCTCAAGCAATAGTTTATTTAAACACATAGGAAAAGAATTTCCCTATAATTGTTTTTCCCACTAATAAATGGCCTAGTTCAATAGTCAATCCTCATTATTTTTGGAGTCTGTATTTATGAATTTGCCTGCTCACCAAAATTTATATCTCCCCAATCAGTATTCCTGGTACTGTCATGGTCACTTTCAGACATGTACAAAGTAGTGAAAAATTTGAGTCACTTGACACACATCTGAGCCAGCTGACGTCAAACAAGGCAATGCTTATAAAACAAGTATCTTTTTGTGGTCAATTTATAGGCATGTTTTCACATTATTATGCTTGGTGTTGGTGATTTTGCTGTTTATAATGGTCTCCAAGTATACTGTTGAAGTGTTTTCTAGTGGTCATAAGCGCAAGACAGCTGTGATTTGCCTCAGAAAATATGTGTGTCTGATGAGCTTTCTTCAGTCACAAGTTATAGTGGTGATGGCTCTGATACAATGTTAAGAATCTATAGTATGGGTGGTGCCTGTGGCTCGAAGGAGTAGGGTGCTGACCCCATATGCCAGAGGAGGAGGTGGTGTGTTCAAGCCCAGCTCCGGCCAAAAACTGCAACAACAACAACAAAAAGAATCGATAGTATATATTAAATAAGGTGTCTTTTAAACAGAAACACATGTTTACTAAAACAAGGTTATGTATTGATCAATTGACAAAAGTGTTGTGAACGGGGTGGCACCTGTTGCTCAAAAGGGTAGGGCACCAGCCCCATATGCTGGAGTTGGTTCAAACCCAGCCCCGGCCCCCCCCCAAATATAATAATAATAAAATAAAATAAAATTTCATTGTTTCTTAAAAAAAAAAAAGTGTTGTGAAGGGAAGCTTACAGGGTCTACTGCCATGCCATCTCGCATGTGCCCAATCTCATCTGATCTCAGAAGTTCAGCAGGGTTAGGTCTGGTTAGTACTGGATGGGAGAGCGCGTCTTCTTGGCCTGTTGCAGTGGCTCACACCTTTAGTCCTAGTGCTCTGGGTGGCCAAGGCAGGAGGATCCATTGAGCTCAGGGGTTTGAGACCAGCTTAAGTAAGAATGAGACCTCTTCTGTACTAAGAAAAATGAGCCAGGTGTTTTGACAGGCTCCTGTAGTCCTAGCTACTTGGGAGTTAG